GTGGCATCTTTGTCTGGTTTTGGAATTAGGGTGATGGTGGCCTCATAGAATGAGTTTGGAAGTTTACCTTCTTCTGCAATTTTCTGGAAGAGTTTGAGTAAGATAGGTGTTAGCTCTTCTCTAAATTTTTGGTAGAATTCAGCTGTGAAGCCATCTGGTCCTGGGCTTTTGTTTGCTGGAAGATTTTTGATTACAGTTTCGATTTCCTCGCTTGTGATGGATCTGTTAAGGTCCCCACTGCAGTATTCTTGCCTGGAGAATCCCATGGACAGAGGAGCCTGGCAGCTACAGTCCATGGCATTGAAGAAAATGGACATGACTCAGCAACTAAATAACAACATGTTACACCTGAGTGGCAGTAAGAACATCACCATGTTAGTGCAACCATCATCTGTCGATTTCCAGAATGCTTTCATCATCCGAAACAGAAACTCTGGGTGGAGCGTCAGCAGGGAAGAGCCGGCCAGGACTTCAAATCCAGCCTGCAGTGTGGCCTCCGTCCCCTGCGTGGGGAGGAAATACAGCTGCTCCGACTGTGCGGGAAGTGGATGGAACCATCTCTGGTGAATCTTCTGACCCGAGGGCCATGTTTCCCAGCTAGAAGAAGCAGGAGGTGGGTGGGTTCAGTGACTCAGGGAAGAGATGAGGCTGCTGGTAAGACCAGGGTCAGGACCTGGAGGAGACGGGCTTCAAGATGAGCTGTGCTTAGGAGGAAGGTCGGGGAGCGTTTAGTGATTTGTTGGATCCGTAGAAGGGGTGAAGGTTGAATAAAGGACATTGTGCCCCTTCAACCAAGCCCCAACCCCCTCACCCAGCCCCACCTTCTAACAGTTCTCACACCCCTGCAGCTTCTGGCCTAAGTGATGAGGGCTGCCTTGTCATCAGTGTGGCAGGGAACCCAGTAGAGAAACGAGTTTGTGGAGGGAAACGGCAGCTGAGTTTTGGCCCGCCCCGAGTGTAGCAATCCCAGGAGCCACCCCGGCGGAGGTGTGCACTGGGATGTTGGGTGGTGAGGTGCCCCATCACTCACCTGAGGGGTTAAAGGCAGATTTCCTTTGTCTCTGACACGCCCTGCCGGCTTGGCTGACGTCCTTGTGCAGCACCTCACTCTGCAGGACAAACCAGGCTCTTGCAGTCTTTTCAGATTGGGATTCAATGGGGATGCGGACTCACCCAGCCCCCAGCCGTGGTTCAAGGACAGGAGGGGTGGCCGTGGGACAGGGCGGTTGGCCCCACAGACCTCCTGGAGCACGGCAGGGACCTCCATCCCTGATAGTGGGCGGAGGTGAGGCCAGTCCCCAAGCGGAATCCTCAGGTGCCCCTGCCCACCCTCCTTCCCGTCAGCCTCCTGCCCTCCCCTCAGCCTCCTCCCCTGGGGCAGTGCTCACAGGAGGCCCAGGAGACAGAGGAGGAGGAGGAGCAGGGTCTTGACAGCCGCTTCCCAGATGGTCACCAAGACCGCGTCTGCTGGGCGCGCAGACCGCCCTGCGGGAGAGTGGACGAGGCCCGGGTCACCCGCTGATCCTCAGCCTCATCCTCCCGCTCCCTGGCGGACTGCGGACCCTGGCCTTCCAGGCTCCCCCGGATGGAGGACCCCACGTGCCCGCCTCCCCCACCCCGCCACCTGCCGGTCCAGCAGTTGTCGTCGGGGGGCACTCAGGGCCTGCGGGCGGGGGTGGGCCACCGCGGGCAGCCCCTGGACACTCACGCTGCAGCGAGACCCTCAGAGAGACATGCTGGGAGCCCAGGGCGTGCTGAGCTCGGCAGGTGAACTCCCCTTCGTCTCCCATGAGCACCCGCGGCAGCTCAAGCACTTCCGGGTGGCTGGGCGGCGAGGCGCTCAGGGTCAGGCTCCCCCGGGCCCAGCTGATCCTGGCGGGGGGGTTGCTGTCGACGACGCACACCAGGCGCAGGGACTCGCCCTCCCTGACTGAAAGAGAGGATCCGTTCTCCTGGGCTTTGGATGCTAGAGAAAAGGAGACCGAGGGTCAGAGAGACCCAGAGACTGGGAGGAAGAGGAAGATATAGCTGGAGGAGGGCTGAGAGGGCCCGGCCCACAGACACTGGGAGAACCAAAGACTCTGTGAGAGGGATCCAGAGAGAGCGCGTGAGAGTGGTCACTGCTGTGTGCTCAGTCTGGGCGCCGACGGGCTCTGCCTCGTGGATCCAGCCCCCACGAAGCAAACAGGGAGGCTCTTGGCCTACACAGGACACCCGTAAGTGCTGTCAGACCTGCCGTTAATTCCATGTGCCCTTCGCTGACCCTGAAACCTCTTGTCCCTTATTCATGGTTTCACTTGACGCCAATTTACTGATTGAACAAGCTGTCTCCAAGGAGGCTCAGGCTTCCCTGGTGGCTCAGCGGTAAAGAACCCACCAGGTAAAGAACCAGTACAGGAGATGTGGGTTCGATCCCTGGGTTGGGAAGATCCCCTGGAGGAGGAAATGGCAACCCACTCAAGTATTCTTTCCTGGAGAATCCCATGAACAGTGGAGCCTGGTGGGCTAAAGTCCATGGGGTCACAAAAGAGTTAAGACGTGACTTAGCGATAGCAACTAAACAACAAGGAGGCTCACTCTTAGAAACAGCCTGGTGAGGAGCTCAGGCCCAGGAACAGGGGCTCACAACACCACATATTACTTATGGTGGCAGTGACGCTGGGTGACAGGAGCCCCTGAGTAAGGCAATGTGAATGCTACTGTTAGGTCCAGGAGGGCTTCCTCGAGAAGGCAGCATGTGCAGTCAAGTGTGAAAGGAAAGCAGGGATGGCAAGATGATGATGAAGGGTTGGAAGGGCATTAAAGGAAGGAGGAACGGAGCTTGCAAAGATGACCAAGGCCTGTGCATATCGGGGAAAAGCACATAGACTTGTAAGGCTGGAGGGAAGGGGTTAGGGTGGGTGTGGGGGGGGGTCTTCAGAAATGAGGCCACAGGACGAATAGTGGCATTTGTTTTTTTAAACTCAAAGTGGGAGAAGCAAATGTGATTGATAAATGTAGCTGCAGGTATGCATACATGCTAAGTTGCTTCAGTCGTGTCCAACTCTTTGAGACTCTATGGACTAGCCAACCAGGTTCTTCTGTTTGTGGGATTCTCCAGGCAAGAATACTGGAGTGGGTTGCCATACTCTTCTCCAGGGGTCTTCCCAATCCAGGGCTTGAACCCAGGTCTCCCACATTGCAGGCAGATTCCATACCATCTGAGCCACCAGGGAAGCCCAAGAATACTGGAGTGGGTAGTCTATCCATCTAAGCACTGTAAAAATCACTGCATGTGTATGTTCAGTCGCTCAGTCATGTTTGACTCTTTGCGATCCCAGGGACTATAGCCTGCCAGGTTCCTCTGTCCATGGAGATTCTCAAGGCAAGAATACTGGAGTGGGTTGGCATGCCCTCCTCCAGGGCTTCTTCCCAACCCAGGATCGAACCCAGGTCTTTCACATTGCAGGTGGATTCTGAGCCACCAGGAAAGCCCACTATATTCAATATCCCATGACAAAGCATAATGGAAAGAATATAAAAGGATATTACAATAGTTACAAGATTACTAGTGCAGTGTTTCAGTTAGTAGAATAAAACAAACACCACAATTTCCCACTGATAGATGCACAAGAACTCAGAATCCATCTATGAACTGGAGTACTCTACAGTCCTGAAGAATAGGGATGTCTGAACTGCTGCTAACAAAGGATGTCTGAGATGCTGTAGGCAAGCAAACCAAGGCTCAGAGCAGCTCATGGACACAGGTGACTTTCCACAAGGGGACTGGGCATCTGAGGACAGACTCTGCTGAACATTTTGAATTTCTGATCATGTGAAAGACGTATGACAAACCTAGACAGCATATTAAAAAGCGGAGACATCACTTTGTCAACAAAGATCCATATAGTCAAAGCTATGGTTTCTCTACTAGTCATGTACAGATGTGAGAGTTGGACCATAAAGAAGACTGAGCACCGAAGAATTGATGCTTTCGAACTGTGGTGCTAGAGAAGACTCTTGAGAATCCTTTGGACTGCAAGGAGATCAAATCAGTCAATCCTAAAGGAAACCAACCCTGAATATTCATTGGAAGGACTGATGCTGAAGCTGAAGCTCCGATACTTTGGCCACCTGATGCAAAGAGCCAATTCAATGGAAAAGACCTGGGAATGACTGAAGGCAGGAGGAGAAGGGGGTGACAGAGGATGAGATGGTTGGATGGCATCACTGACTCAATAGACATAAGTTTGTGAAAACTCCAGGAGATAATGAAGGACAGGGAAGCCTGACGTGCTACAATTCATGGGGTCGCAAAGAGTTGGACACAACTGAGCGACTCTATTGGGAGAAAATAAACAGCAGAGCTGGAGGAGTCAGGTGGTGGATGGTGAGGCGCTTTGAGGGGTGGACTCTGCCCTGGGGATGTCGCCCTGCTCCTGGGGAGCAGAAGAGGAAGTGGACAAGGCCAGGGGAGTGAGGGGCCAGTGGGGACAGCTGGGCAGAGTGGCCATGGGGGCAGAGGAGGGGCAGGGACCACTGGGCTCACCCACTGGGGGCTCCGGTCACTGGGGTGGATCCAGAGAGAGGCAGGGACCAGCAGAGCCCAGCCCAGCCCTGAGCCAGAAGCAGGCTCGCCCCCAACAGCCCAGGAGGGGCCCTCCTTCATACCTGTGCTGTTTCCTTGAAAGACAGTCACAGCCAAGTTCTGTGGTGGGTCTGGGACAGAGAGACATGGCGGATCTATGTCAGTGGTGAGGCCTTGGTGGACATGAGCCCAGTGTCCCCAGGAGCTGCAGAAATGGGGAAAGGGTGGGGGGGCGGGCGTCCTCCTGACCCCCTCCCAGCCTGGATTCCAGAATCTGATGTCTGAGGCCCTGGTGCCCCCTTCCCCTCTGCCCTCCGGACCCCGTCAGGGACCCAGGCATCCTGGCCCAACACTCACAGGACACGTTGAGGCGGACGACCCTCGTTGTGGTCACTTCCGCTCCAGGCAAGGTCACCTGACAGGTGAGCGTGGTGCCGTGGTCCTGGGGCCGTGGAGTGAGAGTGAGCACCGAGGAGAGGGCTGTTGTGAGAACGTGGGAAGAGACGGTCGCTCCCTTCCAGGAGAAGATGGGGGGCGTGCCCCGCTCACAGGCCCAGGGCACAGAGCAGGTCAGATTCCCGGGGTGGCCGGACACCAGGGTCCCCGAAATGAGGATGGCAGGTGTGTGGTTGAGGGCTGGTGAGAAGAGGGGGGACACAGGGGATCGGGAGGAGGGTTTGAGGTGCAGCCCCCAGAGAAGCCTCAGGCTTCGGTCCAGCCTCTCCCCCTGGGCTGCCACTTGACCCCAGAGCCCATCCCAGGAGGGGCTCCCATCCCAACCCTGCCCTGGGACACTCCCTGCGACCTCTCCTGGACCTCCCCCCACAGCCCGCCTTACGTGTCACATGCAAGGAGAGCTGGTTAGACCTGTAATTGTTTTCCACACTTCCTCGTTCCATCCGAAAAAAGTAGGAACCGTTGTCCCTCCTCCTGGCGTCTCTGATCTCCAAGGAGCAGTTGTAGGCCCGGGTGTCCCCGAGGAGATGGAATCGCCCCTGGGTCTCCTCCTGCACTTCTCGGTCTGGGTTGTTTGTAGCTACGGGAGCATCCTTGGACGTCGCAGCCCCTTCCCGAAACCAGTAGCCCAGAGTTGAGGTAAAGATGCCCCAGACATTCCAGGGGTAGGAGAAGGAGCAGGGCACGTGGACGCACAGGCCCTCCTCCACTGTCACCAGCTCCGGCAGCTGCAGCTTGTAATTCTCCCCAGGCCCCATCTGGCCCCTGGCTGCCTCCCTCCGCCAGAGCAGGGCCACCAGCAGCGGCAGTAGCAGCATATCTGTGGTTGGCGGTGGCAGATTGCCTCAGGGCAAGCCTCTTTCTCAAGGTTCCTTTCGCAGGAAATGGAAGTGAAAGTTGCGAGATCTAGAGGAGGCAACAGCAGGAAGACGAGGATGAGGTCAGAAGGAACCTCTGTCAGAAGAGGAACTTCACGTGAGAGAACGTTGGCAGAGCTTCCTCTGCCCTGAGGGATCCACCACCCACCCACCACCTCATGTCCATTCCTGAGGACGCTGGGCCAAGGAAGGTGAGAGACTTGCACAGATTCACATCCCATGGTGGGCCAGAGCCCCACCTCCCACCTCTCTGTCAATGTCCTTCCCCTCTGGGGTCATTTTCTGCAAAGCAACAAAGAGTCCCTTCTGGCCAGACCCCCTGAGTCACAGCTAGTAGGTGTTGGTGAAGATCGGTCCAGCCAGGGTGGGACCTGAGGACATGGGAGGTGGGGGGCGAGGAGGTCCGCTGTCCACCCTCCCTCAGTGCCCACGTGGTGAGGTCACACACCCTTGAGGCACCGTCCAGTGGAGACACAGTAAGTGTCCCAGCATTCGGAGCTCCCTGTGAAGAGGAACTGTAATTCTGTGAATGTTTGTTTTATGTATTTTGAGGCTCCATTTATAGATGCATACATGTTTAGAATTTTATATTTGAGGGGGACAGTGAATTAAACCTTTGCTCTTTATGAAGTGCTCCTTCTTAATGCCATTGGCATCAAAAACTCACCCAGGGAATTCCCTGGTGGTCCAGTGGTTAGGATTATCCCTGCCCAGGGCTAGGGTTCAAATCCCTAGTTGGGAAACTAAGATCCCTGCAAGCTGCACAGCATGGCTAAAACAAAACAAATGAACGACAACAGCGAAAAACCTCCAGCTTACGTTAGGATAATGACATCAGCGTTTCATGCTTAGTACTTGCACCGTGTATCTTCTGACATCTCATTTCAGACTTTCTGAATCCTTAAGTTCTAGTCATGTTTCTTGTCAATATGGGGAGACAGATTTCCTTCATTTGCCCTGTCCTTCGTTCCTCTGAAAGCACAGGGATGTATAGTGAAGACAGCAAGGTGAACGTGACATACCAAGACTTTCTCCTCACCCTCTGGCAGGGAGCTGGGCGAGGCATCGGGAAATGAAATCTAGGGGTTGGCAGGAGGGGTGTGACCAGGAGCCTCAGGGTAGGGGGTCACCAGAAGTAAGTAGGAGAGTGTGCTTAACCCAGAATGTCTAGAATATGGTGAGCACTCGGAGGCAGCTGTTATTTTTTTGTGGGTTGGGGTTGTAGGGTTACCACAGTTGCCATCATGGCCTCCGTGACTGGTTGCCACACAGCCCTTCCCCCTTTCCCCAGAGTTACTTCCTCTCACTGTTCCAGTACATGACAGGCTCTGCCCTGCATCTCCGGCTTTGCTCATGCAAAAGTGGGGGCTGGGGGGCTTTGGTGCTCAGGACACAAAGAATTAGGATGACCAGACTGGGAACCATCCACCACTGGGAACCATCAGGATTTGCTGGGCGAGAGTCTTGCTCCTGAATATGGGGAAGGATGTTCCTCTTGTGAATCTTGTGGGTGGGAAGTGATGGGAAAGTAGGACGGGCATTGAAGAGGAGGCTCATTAAATGGGCTTATTGTCCGTTTTCATAATGTCTTAGGTCATGCCCATTGTTTGCTTTCTTTATTTTTCTGAGACATGTTGCTTTGTCTTCTCTTGAGTTTATAATGCACAATCCTTTCCTTAGATACCGAGTCTTTTATCCCCTCTGCCATTTTCCTAGATGCTTCTCTATTCCCTTGTCCCCAAGCCAACTGTACTCCTTTCCATGAACTGCTCTTCTTAACTACAATGCAAAGAGTGAAAACAGAATGAAAGACATCTCATTCAATCCTCATGAAAGTATGCTGGGTCTGAAGAACACACTAAAGCATTCCTCTTCAATACTCAAAGTATCTGTGGTCCCCTTTCTAGGGCCTGGGACTTTGTAACACCAAGGGCACCTACAAATGAGAGGATTGTGTAAAATTGTGTTAAGCTCCTTCCCAGCTCTAATGACCTATGATGCAATATATTCCATGTACAATTTAGAATCCAACACATCAAGTTCTACCAAAGCTCTCACTCAGAATTTGAGATTGCACTGAATTTATCCATCTGATCTCCTAGCAATATTGAGTCTTCCAATCCATGAACATGGTACATAGCTCCATTTATTTAGGTCTTCTTTCATTTCTTTAAGCATGTGCTCAATATACAGGACTTACATACATTTCAGTTCATTTTACATTTCATGTAACTGTAAACTGCATCTTTAAAAAAATATTCAATTTCTAATTGCCTTTGGCCAATACATAGAATTACAAAGGAACTTTGCAATTTGAATAAGTACCTTAACATCTGGCTGAACTCTATCAGGGCTTCCCAGGTGGCTCAGTGGCAAAGAATCTGCCTGCCAATGCACGAGACGCAGGTTTGATCCCTGGGTTGGTAAGATCCCCTGGAGAAGGAAATGGCAACCCACTTCTTGCCTGGGAGATCCCATGGACGGAGGAGCCTGGCGGGCTACAGTCGATCAGGACACAAACGAGTCAGACACAACTTAGCAACTAAACAAAAACAAACTCTATGCTTGGTCTTAGCAGTTTCTTTGTGGATAACTTTAGAATTTCTAGGCACACAGTTACTATATCATCTGTAAATAAGGACTGTTTTACTTCTTTTATGAATCGGATAGCTCTTACTTCTGCTTCTTGCATTTATTGCACTGGAGAGAATCTATAATATATTGCTTAATAGAAGTTGTAAGAGCAGCCATCATTGCCTGATTTCCAGTTCTGTGACTTCTGGGACTGGCCCCTCCAAGCCTTAGGAGAAGTTGTCAGCAAAAAGTTTATGTGTTTGGAGTCCACAAAAAGCTCTGTGTCACGATCCTCATTACCTGTTTTCTGTGTATACTTTCATTGCTCTCTCACAACAGTCTAGCTAGACAGGAATGGTTTCCCTGCTCACACAACAGCAAAGTGAGGCATAGAGGGATAAAGTGACTCATTCGATGAGTTACATAAATGAATCTGAACTCAGTTCTTTTGGTCACAGCCCTCCACTCCTGGGCAGCAGATTGGACGGAGGTCCGTCTAGTCAAAGCTGTGGTTTTCCCACCAGTCATGTACAGATGTGACAATTGGACCATAATGAAGGCAGAGCACCGAAGAATTAATGCTTTTTGAACTGTGGTGCTGGAGAAGACTCTTGAGAGTCCCTTGGACAGCAAGGAGATCAATTCAGTCAATCCTAAAGGAAATCAACCCTGAATATTCATTGGAAAGACTGAGGCTGAAGCTGAAGCTCCAATACTTTGGTCACCTGATGCAAAAAGCTGACTCAATGGACAAGACCCTGATGCTGAGAAAGAGTGAGGGCAGGAGGAGATGGGGATGACAGAGGATGAGATGGTTGGGCGGCATCAACGACTCAATGGACATGAGTTTGAGCAAGCTCAAGAAGATGGTTAGGGAAGATAGCCAGGGAAGCCTGGTGTGCTGCAGCTCATGAGACTGCAAACAGTTGGACATGATTTTAGGAGCCAAACAACAACAACTTTTGGTCACAAGTCCTATGGTCCTCCACCCATACCAGGGAACTCTGACCACTGCCAAGAAGGCCATTTGTTTTTAAATGATTGGAGGCTGAGTGTTACAGACTGAAAATTCGTGTTCTTATAACAAGAATGAATTAGGACACAGAAACACACAGCGGGGAGACTGTGTGAGGACACGGGGAGAAGACAACTGTCTCCAAGCCAAGGAGAGAGGGTTCAAAGGGAACCAAGCCTGCCGACACCTTGATCTCAGACTTCCAGGCTCCAGACCATGAGAGAAGATTTCCTCACTTGTGTATCTTGATCTCTGAGTATTCAGTGTGAGTGCCTTCCTGTTTCTGAGGCTTCGGCTTGTGAAATCGGAGGAAAGCATAGTGAGGCTCTTGCTCATTTCTTGAGATGGGGCCAGCCCCAGCGGGGGCAGGGTGGTCTGCAGGGGGTGTCTGTCCAGAACTGGGGCTGGCATTCCTGAGAGGAAGGAGGAGAAGAAAGGATTCAGATCCAGGCAACAGGGTCTGGGAGAACTATGGAGTCAAAGACAATGGAATGGAATTGGACTGATAGAATTTTTATTACTTGCCCATTCATTTGTTCAAACATAGTTAATTCAGATTGACCAGCCCTTCGTGAGTATTTACATGGATCACATTATATTCTTTAAAAATGCTAGGAGAGAATACTATTGTCATATGTGTCTTAGAAATAGTAAAACTAGGGCTAAGAGAGATTATACACATTGTTTTCCTGAAGACACACACCTATAGATGCATCCCTGAGCCAGGACTCGAAACCAGTTCTTTCCAACTACGGTGCTGTCCTTTGTTCAGGCTGTGTGTGTAGGAGGTGCTGTGTGTGGAGTGATGGAAAAAGCAGACATAGTCCCTCGTATTATGCAGTGTGTGGTTTTATGTGTTTTTTTTTTCTTTTGAGGGGGTGGTTTTGTTTGTTTTAGCCAAACCACACAGCTTGCAAAATCTTAGTTCCCTGACCAAGGATCAAACAGATGCCTCCTGCCATGGAAGCTTGGAGTCTTAAGCATTGGACCACAGGGAAATCCTGCTTATGGTTTTCTAGGAGAGGCAGTTAATAGACAAATATATCTCAAGATCTAAATTTGATAGGAGATATTTTGAAATATAAAGCAAGGGCAGGGGTAGGCAGGTTCTAGAAGACAGAGTAGAGATCAGATCCTGCAATAAAAATGGTAACCAGATACCGTCACTCATATTTGCTGCCTGCCTGCAATACCCTCAGGCTATCAGTTCAGTTCAGTTCAGTCACTCAGTCGTGTTCGACTCTTTGCGGCAAGCGGGAAATAGAAACCCTGGAACAGTAGTGAAGAGAGGCAGACAGATTGTCCTCGGATTAGGAGAAAATGGTTGCTGTTGTTGTTTAGTCACTAAGTCTTGACTCTTTTGTGACCCTATGAACTGTAGCCCACCAGGCTTCTCTGTCCATGGGATTTTCCAGGCAAGAAGAGTGGAGTGGATTGCCCTTTCCTCCTCCAGGGGATCTTCCTGACCTAGGCATTGAACCTGCATCTCCTGCACTGGCAGGCAGATTCTCTACCACTGAGCCACCTAGGAAAGTGAAAGTCGCTCAGTTGTGTCCAACTCTTTGCGACCCCATGGACTATAATCCATGGAATTCTCCAGGCCGGAATACCAGAGTGGGTAGCCGTTCCCTTCTCCAGGGGATCTTCCCAACCTGGGGATTGAACCCAAGTCTCCCACATTGCAGGTGGATTCTTTACCAGCTGAGCCACCTGAGAAGTCCGAGAAAATGGTTATTTTACTTTATTTTTTTGGCCACGCCACACAGCTTGCAGGATTTTAGTTTCTGACCAGGAGTCAAACCCAGGCTCCCCTGCAGTGAAAGTGCCAAATCCTAACCACTGAACCACTAGGGAATTCCCCTGAAAATGGCTATTTTAGAAGATAGAGAGAAGGCTGACCATATTAAGGGAAAGCAAGGTGAAAATAAGTAAGTTAATAGTTTAAATCTACTATAGCCAAAACACAGAAAGGAAAAAAACGTGTCTGTTAATAACTATGACTGAAGTATTTGTATATGGATGAACCTCACCAATCAAAAGACAGAGACAGAGAATTTTATTAGCAAATGAGATTCAGCAACATGGTGAATCAATGATTTATTCCAGAAATATTGTGCATCTACTGTGAGTTACAAGCTAGGCATTCCTCTAGGCATTGGGAAGACAATAGAGAAGAAAGTGATAACAACAGCAACAAACTGCCTTTGGGACTTACTCGAGGAGGGAAAGGTTCTGATCTGTTATCAGGAGGACTTGCTTCATCCATGCCAGAGACTCTTCTAATCATGCCTCATAACTACTCTGAGCTTCCCTAGTGGCTCAGATGGTGTAGAATTGCATGCAGTGAGGGAGATCTGGGTGTGATTCCTGGGTCAGGAAGATCCCCTGGAGAAGCAAATGGCTACCCACTCCAGTATTCTTGCCTTGTTACAATAAGTCTTAACCTCTGGACCACTAGAGAAGTCCCAATATTAATAATATTCCTATGTCACAGAAAATAAATAGAGGCCAGAGAGAGCACATCATTTGTCCAAGGTCACACACCTTGTAAATAAGATAAGATTTGAATGCAAGCAGTCCAGTTCCAGAGTACATGTTTTGAACCATGATGCTATACTGACTCAAAGAGACACTCATTAAAAAAAGATAAAAAGAAGGTTACTGAAAATTTGAAAGTAACATAACAGAAAAGATGTCTCATGATTTCTGACAAGATGGGGATTGAACACACACTAAGGATTCCATTACCCAAGATCAACCAAGAAGAAACTGCAGGGGGAAATACGTAAATTAAATTTAAAACCTGATTTTCTGTCTTCTAGTTCTGCCAGTTCCTGAGAGAGGAGTTTTGAGATAATCAACTCTAACTGTGGGTGTGCCTATTTCTCCTTGCAACTCTGTGTTTGTTGATTTATTTTGAGAGACAACGCTCCATTATTGGGGGCATCTACACTTAGGATTTTACATCTTTTAATAAAACACTAGAGGCCATATATAGAGAGTGGGCATCACATGAGTCCATTTATATGACATTCAAGAATGGACAAAATGAATCAATAATGGTAGAAATCAGTGATTTCTGGAAAGGGGTGGGGGTGAATGAGAAGGGGAATAAAAGAATTTGGGGCCCTGATGGAAGTGTTCCCTATCTTGACTGGGGACATGATTACAGGAGGTATGCGTTTGTCAAAGTTTGTTTAACTTCATACTTAAACTGTGTAAATACCTCAATATGGGCTTCCCTGGTGACTCAGTGGTAAAGAATCTGCCTGCCATTGCAGGGGACATGGGTTCAATCCCTGGGTGGGGAAGATCCGCTGGAGAGGGAAATGGCAACCCACCCCAGTATTCTTGCCTGGGAAATCCCATGGACAGAGGAGCCTGGTGAACTACGGTCCATGGGGTCGCAAAAGAGTCAGACACGACTTTGCGACTACACAACAACAACATCTCATTAAAGTTGATAGTAAATAACAGGGTGGTAGATTTGAAAGATACAGATCAGGAGTGATAAGTTGTGACGCTAGGATGCCTCAAGCTCTCTATCCTACTTCCTTGTCCTCAGTGAGTCTGACACAGACTAGGTTTGGACCAATTCTCTTCCCCATAATCAATGTGAGAAGAAAAGGCTAAAGCCCTAGGAGAATATGATAATCTGATATACCAAGCAAAATACCCCAGAACCAACCAACTAAACTATCTACATATTTCATCAGGAGCAGCCGTGCTAGAGCAGTTGAATCAGTAGTTTTAAACAACCCCATGTGGAATTCCAGGGAGTGATGGATGTTAGCAGGGAAATGCCAAGGGCTCGGACCAGGGGTACTGCCCACAAGGGGTAAGCTGAATGGGACCGCCCACCCCATTACTCACCCTGGAGCCGGAGCCCACGGCGTGGTTCGTGTCATCCATGCTTTGTACCGGCTGGGTCTTTCTGCGGGTCTATCACCTGAAGAGGAGATACAGGCAGAGAGAAAGCAGGACCGTGACGCTAGCTCCCCCGACTGCTCCCAGGACCTTGCCGGCCCTGGGCTGTGGTTTACCTGTAGACAATTTGAATCTTGTTTCAACTCCAACTCCATTACATGGCATCTTCCCAACAGGCCACCCCTCTCTGTGTTCTGTTAGTGTACCCGCCTGCCCCTTGACTTCCCATCCAAGACTCGGTCACTGGACGTTCCCATCACTCTGTAGACCCTGGGGCCGGCCCCTTCCCCTGGACTCAGGACTGAGAATCTTCCACCACCAGCCACGCCAGCTGGGGCCCCGGGGTACCCCTTCTCCGAGCTCCATCCCTCTGGGGCTGTTCCAGTTGACTTGTGTTTCCCTCCCCCAAGTTCATATGTTGAAGTCCCCTCATCCCTAGTCACTCAGAATGTCACCTTATTTGGAGAGGAGATCTTTACTGAGGTAATTAAATTAAAATGAAGGCCCAGTAGGGCCTCCCGGTGGCTCAGTGGGAAGGAGTCTGCCAGCCAACATGGGAGACATGGGTTCGATCCCTGGTCCGGGAAGATCTCACATGCCTCAGAGCAGCAAAGCCCCTGCGCCATAACTATTGAGTCTGTCCTCTAGAGCCCGAGAGCTGTAACGACTGAAGAAGCCCTTGTTCCCTAGAGCCTGTGCTCTGCAACTAGAGAAGCCACCACAATGAGCACCACAACTCAAGAGCAGCCCCCGCTCTCTACAATTAGACAAAGCCCCCGTAGCAACGAAGACCCAGCACAGCCAGAGATAAATTGTTTAATTAAAAAGCATGAGATCAGCAGGGACTAATCCAATATGACTGATATCCTAAAAAGGGGAAATTTGGACACAGACACATGCAGGCTTTTATGTTCTATGTAAACATAAAAGCGAGGATGGGGAGGCTTCCCAGATGGCATTAATGAAAAAGAACCTGCCCCCCAATGCAGGATACCCTCATCCTCCTGGGAGCAGGAGCGGGATCAAGCAGCTGCGGGGGTGGGGTGGGGTGGGGGTGGGTGCTGTGGGTTCGATCCCTTGGTTAGGAAGATTCCGCTGGAGGAGGGTATGGCAACACACCCCAGTATTCTCGCCTGGAGAATCCCATGGACAGGGGAGCCTGGAGGGCTGCAGTCCATGGGGTCACAAAGAGTCGGACACAACTGAAGTGACTGAGCACTCACAGCCACAAACATGAAAGCAGAGATGGGGGTGATGCTCCTACGAGCCAAGGAACACCAAAGGTTGCCAGCAAAACTGCCAGAAGCCACAGGGAGAGTCCTGGAACAATTCTCACAGCCTGGGATGGAGTCAACCCTGCTGACACCTTGATCCCAGGCTTCCAGCCGCCAGCACCGGAGGTGTATCTGCTTAAGCCCCCAGTTGGAGGTGGTTTGTTCTGGCTGCCCTAGCAGACTCATACAAGGATCCAGGCTCCTCTTCTCTCGGGCATCAGCCCTCGGCAGACCCCTGACCTGGCAGCAGCAGGACAGACCCGCTCCGGGCCCCGTGGGCACTCAGGGCCTCGCCACTGAGGCATTGCTGAAGTTCCCCTCCAGCAGCCCCTCGCCCAGCCGCCAGCGCAGGGAGGGGGCCGGCCAGGCTCAGGAGGAGCAGCTGCAGCGCAGACCCTCGTCCTCCTGGGAGCAGGAGGGGCCCAGCAGCTGTACAAGGATCCAGGCTCCTCTTCTCTCGGGCATCAGCCCTCGGCAGACCCCTGACCTGGCAGCAGCAGGACAGACCCGCTCCGGGCCCCGTGGGCATTCAGGGCCTCGCCGCTGAGGCATTGCTGAAGTTCCCCTCCAGCGGCCCCTCCCCGAGCCGCCAGCGCAGGGGGGGTGCCGGCCGGGCTCTGGAGGAGCAGCTGCAGCGCAGACCCTCGCCCTCCTGGGAGCAGGAGGGGCCCAGCAGCTGCAGGGGGGGAGCTGTGGGGAGACATGGGAGGGATCAGGGGCACCTCTCCCCTCCCTGGAGCCCCGGGATCCTGTCCCCAGGGGCCCCCACACTCACAGACCACGGAGAGGCTCAGGGAGATATTTTGGGAGCCCAGCGGGTTCTGAGCCTGGCAGGTGAACACTTCTTCTTCTGCTGCCCCTACACGAGGCAGCTCCAGGTCCCCAGTGCTGGAGATGGGGTGACCTCCAGGGCGGGAGACCCCCGGAACCAGCTCAGTTGTGCAGGGGGGTTGCTGTCAGCAACACACAGCAGCCGCGGCTCCTGGCCCTCCTGGACAGGAAGGGACGAGGTGTTCTGCAGAATCTTGAGGGCTTTGGGGGAAGAGAAGGGCAGAGAGACAGAGAGATGGGCTGGGCAAAGCTGGCACCTCTCTTCTCCTGCGATGTCCACACTAGCTCTGGGGAGGGGACAGGCAGAGTCTGAACCACAGGCATTCAGAAGAAGCCCCAGCAGTTTCCCTGGAGCTGCCCAGACTGTCCATCAGATGGGGCACAGAGGGCACAGGACAAGGATGTGTATGCTTGAGACAGTCGTGCTCAACCCTTTGTGACCCCATGGACTGTAGCCCTCCAGGCAAGAATACTGGAGTGGGTTGCCATGCCCTCCTCCAGGGACTCTTCCTGACCCAGGGATCGGACCCGGGTCTCCCGCATTGTGGGCAGGTTCTTTACCACTGAGCCACCAGGGAAGACCTGGTAGACAAGGATACAGTGAGCAAACGTAGTTATGGGCCAAAGAAGAGAAAGCAGCAGGCAATAAAACATCAGAGAGGGATTTCCTTGGTGGTCCAGTGGTTAGGACTCCACACTTCCACTGCAGGGGACACGGGTTCCATCCCTGGTTAGGGAACTAAGATCCTGCATGCTGCATTGTGTGGCTAACTGCTGACACCCACCCACTCCCCCTCCCCCCAAAAAAACAAACATCAGAGAGAAAGCAAAAGGAATGTGACAGCTTCCTTTGAATTTAGCCAAAGAAAGCTGTGGGTGAGCTGAAGGTTAACTTCTGGGAGCTGAGCTTTCGGGATTCCACTCCCTGTCTCTGCCCACCCCACCCCCCCACTCTCCCTGTGTCTGACCTCAATAGCTGGGCCCTCAAATATGTTCCACTTAGTCCTCTGAGGGGGCTTCCCAGGTGGCACTAGTGATAAAGAATCCGCCTGTCAATGCAGGAGACGCAGGAGTCATGGGTTCGATCCCTGGGTGGGGAAGATCCCCTGGAGAAGGAAATGGCAACCTACTCCAAGCATTCTTGCCTGAGAAATCTCATGGACAGAGGAGCCTGGCGTTGGTCCTGGGGCCGTGGGGTGAGGGTGAGCACTGACGAGAAGGGGGTCCTGGGGCCCTGGGAGCTGGGGGCAGCTGACGTCCAGGAGAAGATGGGGGGCGTGGCCCCCTCGCAGGCCCAGGGCATGGAGCAAGTCAGGTTCCCGGGGCGGCCGGGCTCCAGGGCCCCCGGGCTGAGGACGTGGGGCTGGTGGGTGAGTGCTGGTGAGGGCAGAGAGAAGGATGGGGCCCCCTTGGCATGTTGTTAGCCTGCCACAGGGTCCCCACCCCAGCCCTGGTTTCCGGTGCCCCTTTCTTTCCCTGAGCCCCCCTACCATACCTGTCACGTTCAGAAAGAACATCTTGTTTAGATATGGGAATTTTCTGAAGTGTGTCTCGACTCAAAAGAAGTATGTCCCACTGTCCCCTGCATTGACATCAGTGATGCTCAGGCTGCAGTTTCTGGCCTGGGGCTCCCCGGGGAGGGAGAATCGCCCCTGGGTCCCCTCACGCAGCTTCTCTTCCGGCTTGTTCGTGGCCACCAGGGGATCGCATTTTGTATCTGCCCCTTCCCGGAACCAAAACATGTAGATCTTTCCAAAGGAAACCCGGGGATGGGGAAAGGTGCAGGGTAGGAGGATGCACAGGCCCTCCAGCACGGTCACATTCTGCTGCAGTTCCAGGCGCTGAGCTAGGGGTGCTGGGCAGAGGGAGAAAGTCAGCCTGGAGCTCCAGTGCCTCGCCCCAGAGTATGTGTGTGTGTGTGTGTGTGTGTGTGTCGGGGGGGGGTTCCCCGTGCCCCTTGGCCCACTCACCTCCCCACAGCACGAGCAGCAGCAGCAGCCGCATCCCTTCCTGATGTCCCCTGGGGCAGGATCCACCTTCCGGATCCTTCTGAAAGAGAAGGCCAAGCTGCAGATAACGGGAGGGCGGAGGAAGCTCAGACAGGAAGCTGCGGTGAGATAACCAGGCCACAAGCCCCTAAGAGGAAACTTCAGGCTTAGAGAGTCAGCAGTGGTTGGCCCCGCCAAGATCATTCTGCCATTTCTGCATATTGGAAGGTGACCCCTGAGGACCAGAGGGGGCAAGGGGCTTGCCTGAGTGAGGCAGGAAGGAAGGACGGGAGCCCCGGAGTCCTGCCTCCTGGGCTCCTGCCCTGTTTTCTGCCCTGGATAAGGGGGCTCCCCTATGCAGCTCCCCGAGAGTCATGGCCTGGGGAATCCTCGTGGAGGCGGCCTGTTCGGGATGGAACTGGAGATATCTTATATGGGCACCAGGGGCAGGAGAAGGTGTGGGTGAGGCAAGAGAAGCAACACATTCCTTTACTTGATTCATTCATTCATTCATTCACAAACTAACATAGAACAGGACAGATTTGGTGACTTCCCTGGTGGTCTGGTGGTTAAGAATCCACCTTGCACCACAGGGGATGTGGCTTTGGTCCCTGTTTGGGGAACTAAGATCCCACGGGCCTGGGGCAGCCGAGCCCACGTGCCGCTACTACTGAAGCCTGTGCGCTCTGGAGCCTGTGTGCCCCAACTAGAGAGAAGCCCGTGCGCCACACGAAAGAGCCTGTGTGCCGCTGCTAAGACCCAACATGGCCAAAATGGTTTTTTCCTAAACAAAAAAGACAGGTTTGAATCAGTCCTCACCCTTGACTAGCTCAAACAGTGGGGGAAGACAAACAAACCTGAGCTTTATTTAAGGGCAACCGGGAGCCACAGAAGGTTCTTGAGCAGAAGCTGGACAGAGTCATAGAGGTATCACATGATCTCGCTGAAGCCAGTGTAGGGAACAGCTGGAAGGGAGAGGCTGGAAGCCAAGAGGAAGCTTCTGTGATTGGGAAGAAGAGAACCATGCCTACGGGGAGACAGCAGCCTGGGTGATGGAAGAGAGATGCCACTGAAGACATTTTGAGGAAGTGAGATTTGAGGGGAGGCGTGGGGGACCGGGGGGAGAGAGAGACGTCTAGAGTGACTCTGTGAGTGCTGACTCCAGCTACTGGGGGGCGGGGGATGGAAGTGCCACCGCCAGGAGCAGGATAAATGTGCAGGTCTAGGCTGGGCAGACGGGGGCTGAGAAGGTAGCAGAGCGGCCCCTGGAGGTGGACACATAGACACACTCAGGGAGCGGGGGCAGAGGGCCCTGGGCGGGGCAGTGGGAACCGGCATGCCTGCATGTCCCCGATTAAGCTTACCTGTGGGATGTAGGGAGAGCTGGTAGTGGTGATTGAGATGGCCTGTTCGGGAAGAGAACAGGTGGTTACTGGTGACCCAGGTGAGAGTTTTGCCAGGGAGGGGAGAGAGGGGTTGGCAGCCAGACAGCAGGGAGCAGAGGTGAGGCGAATGCGGGCTGGGGTGGGGCGGGCGATGTGGAATCCCACTGACCGTCTTTGCTACTGCTGCTGCTAAGTCGCTTCAGTCGTGTCCGACTCTGTGCGACCCCATAGATGGCAGCCCACCAGGCTCCGTCGTCCCTGGGATTCTCCAGGCAAGAACACCGGAGTGGGTTGCCATTTCCTTCTCCAGTGCAGGAAAGTGAAAAGTGAAAGTGAAGCCACTCAGTCGTGTCCTACTCTTCGCGACCCCACAGACTGCAGCCCACCAGGCTCCTCCGTCCATGGGATTTTCCAGGCAAGAGTACTGGAGTGGGTTGCCATGGCCTTCTCCAACTGACCGCCTTTAGCCCTCTCCCCTTTAAGCTTGAAGACCCCACTTCTGCCCTGAGCAGTAGGAAGCCCCTTCCATCACTGCCCCAGAGGAGCGCTTCCTTCCTACCTGTACCATTTCCATGGGTGGGGCCAATAGCCCAGGTTCTTGGAGCATTTGGAATGGAGATTAGAAGGTATTTTCTCCCTCAGTCTTGGGGAGGGATGGTGACTTTAACTCTGGCTGGATCTGCAGAAGGGTGTCGAGGCAAGAATACTGGAGTGGGTTGCCATGCCCTCTTCCAGGGGATCTTCCTGACCCAGGGATCGAACCTGCATCTCTTATGTCTCCTGCGTGGTAAGGGGGAACTGTTGTGTTTTCTTATCCCTTCTCGGGCCAGGCTTCTGGCCAAGCATCACATCCTACAGGCGCTGTGACTGGGCCCCTCCTCAGGGACCCAGGTGTCCTGACAAACACCGAGAAGGTATGCTGAACCTGACTAGGGCCAGGAGCTCAGCCAATTGGGGAGAGACAGCCTGAGCTGCTAGCGTCAGAGGGAGCTGCTTAGAGCAGTTGAGTCAAAATGAAAGTAACAATTAAGCCTTTAATCGCCTACTGTGATGATAGAAGCAACAGTCTAAATGGAAAAAGCAGTGCCTCCCCCCTGTTCTGGAATGGTTGCAGAGGTGTTAAACAAAAATATGTGATTCTAATTGTTAAGGGGAAAAAATTATTTCTGGCACTTCTTATTTTCAGTTTTATTTTATTTTCTTTATTGGAGTATAGTTGTTTTACACTTCTGTGTCTGTTTCTGCTGCCCAGCAAAGTGGATGAACCATATGTACACATATGTCCCCTCTTTTTGAATTTCCTTCCCATTTAGGTCACCAAAGAGCAGAAAGTAGAGTTCCCTGTGCTGTACAATAAATTCTCCTTAGTTATTTGTTTTATACACTGTTGTTGTTTAGGTGCTCAATCCCATCCGATTCTCTGCGACCCCATGGACCCCACCAGGCTCCTCTGTCCATGGGATTCTCCAGGCAACAATACCAGAGTGGGTGGCCATGCCCTCTCTCCAGGGGATCTTCCTAACCCAAGGATCAAACCTGCATCTCTTACATCTCCTGCGTTGGCAGGTGTGTTCTTTACCACTAGTGCCACCAGGAAACCTGACACATTGTAGTATATACAGGTGAATCCCAATCTCCCAATTCATCCCACCACCCACCCTTCACCCCTTGGCAACCACACATTTGTTCCTTCTGTTTGTGTCTCTGTTTCTGCTCATGACACTTGAAGCAGACTTCATTCAGGACCGTTGTCATAGGTTCAGGGACCCCCGCAATGGGGTTTGCTGCAGGGGAAAAGAGACCAGGCTCAGCTCTGACAATGATGAGGAAGACTGGGGATTTATTGCCAAAGAGGAGGGTGAGGGGTCAGCAGATGGAAAATTACTGAAAGGGAACATCGAGGGAAAGGGGGCTTCTGGCTAAACCGACCCACCAGGCTTCTTGGTGAAGGCAGGACAGGGTGACCAGACAGCAGCTCGGGGGTGCTGGAGGATGAGGAAGCCCATCAGATATGGAGGGTAAGGGACGTGGGTTACACTGACTTCCCTGGTGGCGCAGTGGGTAAGAATCCACCCACCAGTGCAGGGGACACGTGTTTGATCCCTGGTCCCGGAAGATTACGCGTGCCGCAGGGCAATGAAAGCCCGTGCACCCCAGCTACCGAGCCTGGACTCTGGAGCCCGCGAGCCACAGCTGCTGAGGCCTCGTGCTGCGGCTCCTGAAGCCGGCGCGCCTGGCGCCTGTGCTCACGACAAGAGAAGCCACAGTGAGAGCCGGTGCACCACAACAAAGAGAAACCCCGCTCTCTGCAAACAGAGGAAGCCTTCACGCGGCAACGAAGAACCAGCGCAACCAAAAATAAATCAATTTTTTAAATGTTTTTGATTACATTTATTTTTTTTTCATTTTTATTAGTTAGAGGCTAATTCTTTAAAAAAAGAACTTGAAGAGCCTGGCTGGAGTTGAGCCAAGGGGAGAACCTTTGTCAAGGGGTCTGATGGGCCAGCACAGACATGGGGGTCACTTCACATACCAGGGACCCAGAACAAGAAGCTGTAGTGGATCTATGGATCCTGGGTTGGGGCCTGGGGGTGGGACTAGAAAAGTACTGAGTCCTGAATCACAGTGGGGCAAAGTGTCTTCAAGTTTTCCTCCTCCTCCCCCCGCATTAGGAGGCCTGAAGAGGTCTAATTAAGAGGTGCCTGAAGACCTCTGCCCAAGGCTTCACGTAAAGAGACCAAGAATGAAATACTCTGAGCTCAAGAATGCAAAAACGTGAAGAGTGTGACAGGCCAGAGCAGTCTGAGTCCTTCACCGCAACTCCTTTCAGAGGCTGCAGTGCACAGACATGCCCATGAAGCCAGCCGAGGAAAGCTTTCGAGTTTGCCTATGATCAGGTCTGAAAAACCACCTGTAGGTTTGTAGCCATGAGCTGAACTCCTCAGATGGCTCTGTGCATAGACCTTTCACCTCCTGTCCTTCCCAGGTGGCTCAGTCATAAGGAATCCGCCTGCAGTGCAGGAGCCACAGGAGATGTGGGTTCGATCCCTGGGCCAGGAAGATCCCCTGGAGAAGGAAGCAGCAACACACTCCAGTATTCCTGCCTGGGAAAATCCCATGGATAGAGGAGCTATCCCTGTGGGCTACATACAGTTCTGCTGCTGCTGCTGCTACTGCTAAGTCGCTTCAGTCGTGCCCGACTCTGTGTGACCCCATAGATGGCAACCCACCAGCCTCCGCCATCCCTGGGATTCTCCAGGCAAGAACACTGGAGTGGGTTGCCATTTTCTTCTCCAATGCATGAAAGTGAAAAGTGAAAGTGAAGTCGCTCAGTCGTGTCCAACTCTTTGCAACCCCATGGACTGCCGCCTACCAGGCTACTCCGTCCATGGGATTTTCCAGGCAAGGGTACTGCAGTGGGGTGCCATTGCCTTCTCCGACATACAGTCCATGGGGTCGCAAAAGAGTCGAACACAACATAGCAACTAAACAGCAGCATCTATCACCTCCTAGGAAGGTCACCTGAAAACGTAGGGCCGGTGTCATGGTCTCTTCTTTAAAATTTATTATTTTTAATATATCATTGGAGTATAGTTCATTTATGATGTTGTTTTAAGTTTCAGGCATACAGCAAAGTGAATCAGTTGTATATATGTATGTTATATATATGTATGTGTATATCCTGGGTGAATAATAAGGAATGGGGAGCCTTGGGTCCCATGGAGGAGGGAAGTATCTTCCTACTGGACTTTGAGCTGTTTAGACTCTAAGACAGTTGGGATATTCTGGTATAAGCTGGAGAGAAGATTCAGACCTCAAAAAGGAGGTCCTGAGAGTCCACCTCCGCTTCCCCTGGGATCGTGAACACTTCTCCCCACCTCTCAGATTAGAAGCACCGGTGTTCCTGTCTCTGGGGTCCTCTCTGGGGCATCCTTGGCTACTTGTCACATTCAGATATATAAGGAGTCGTGCGTGCATGCTCAGTCACTCAGTTGTGCCTGACTCTTTGAGACCTTTGTAGCCCTTTAAAGTACACTGTCCATGGGATTTCGCAGTTAAGAATACCGGAGCGGGTTGCCATTTCCTACTCCAGGGGAATCTTCCCTACCCAGAGATCAATCCCGTGTCTCCTGCATTGGCAGGTGGATTCTTTATCACTGGGCCACCTGGCAAGTCCCATATTGGGAGTCATTTTTCACATGATATTTCTCTAACCGAAAACATTCTCACTTACCTGCATCTTGGCAAATCTAATGCCTAGAGAGCAACTGTGGGCCCCTGGACCCCACAGAAGGTTGGACTGGCCCCAGAGAGTTTCTTCCAGATTTCGATGGGGGTCTGCAGGTGGAAGGGGATTGCAGTGTCTGCCGGACACCTCTGGGATCTGAAGGTGGATGCTGAGTGGGCTAAAGTCAGTGCAGAAAACCCAAGGGTTGAAGTGAACGGGGTGGGAAGCATGGCCCTGCTTCACCACCCTCAGTGAAGGTTACAGAATGCACCTGCACCACCCTCCGGGGGCCGCTGCAGGGAGCAGCCTCTGACTGCAGCCCCGCCCGGAAACCTCCCTCACGTCTGCTGCCCTCCCAGCTGCAGCCACAGTGGCAGCAACATCTCTGGGCCCCAGAGGCTAATCCGGATTCACCTGACACCATCTGATTGGCCTCTCCTAGCTTAGAGGTGGGGGCGACCGTGGGGTGGCAAGAGAGCTAGGGACACTTCTTGGGTTGAAGTGTATGACTTCTGACCAGTCTCTCTTCAGCAGAAATACCCCTCTTTCCCTTGAGCCACCGGGGTGGGGAAGTGAAAGCCGAGCTCTTCTCTCTTGGGGCCACAGCTATCTCGTACCCTGAAACCCTGACTTTCACCCCCTGAAGACCAACTCCCACTTCCCTTAAGCGAGATGTGGAGTTTCGGGGTCTATTTTCCCCACATAGGTTTCTCGAAGCCTGGTTAGAACCTAGACAGGGAGGCCTTTATCCTGTTCATTACCAGTCCCCAAGCCCGTCCCACTTCTTCCCGTCAGAACGTACCCACAGCGGGATCGCTCTGTCCAGCCAAGACAGTATGCGGTCCCCAGAAGCGGGTGTGGCGCTGTCCGTGGTGCTGAAGCGGGGTCGGGTCTTGAGTTTGGGAATCAGCGGATTATGCAGAAGGGTCTGACTAGACAGATCTGGACCTCAGGCCAGGAAAGCAGCTGTGTCAGAACGGTTGGGCCTTCCGAGGAAGGAGAAGATCAGGGAGGGGCCGAGCCTCTGGTCTTGGGGCTTGTCTTCCCCTGAGCCTCTATTTCTTCCTTCTTCTTTGCACTCCAAAATCCTCTGGGTTCTGCCAGGCCACTGGATTAAAGTCAGCTGCAGCTCCCACTCCCTCACCTCCCACTTCTTGTTTTGGGGGAAAAATAAAGCCCTATGTGTTAAGATTCCTGAAAGTCAGATTTTTTTTAACTTAGAGTGAAATGCATTTCTAATTGATACAGTCTGTGGAGATGACTCCTCCAATTCCATTTAAAGCCAACATGACATTTTCCAAAAGTGCCCTACTCACAGGAGAGTGCGTGGTATGCCTGACTTTTTTTTCACTTTTGCTAATTCAAGAGTAGAGAAACAGTATGATATCTTTTCTCTGCATTGATGTGATTATACATAACCTTTCTCATCTTTTTAAATTAACTGTAATGCTTATCTGTGAATTATCTATTCAAAGGGGGACTTCCCTGGTGGCGCAGTGGATAAGAATCCACCAGCCAATGCAGGGGACATGGGTCCCTGGTCCAGGAAGATTACACATGCCTCAGAGCAGCTGAGCCCTTGCGTCACAGCTACTGAGCGCACGTGCTGCAACGACTAAAGCCTGCACACCTAGAGCTTGTGCTCCGCAACAAGAGAAGGCACTGCCGCGAGACGCCCGCGCTCCGCAACAAGGCACCTAGACAAAGCCTGAGCAAAGCAACCAAGATTCAGTGCAGCCAAAAATTTAAGACATAATAAAAAATTTAAAAAATCTACCCAAAGGGTTTACACAGAAGGACCATGGAGTTTTCCTAATCAGCCTCTCTAGAGACTCTGATCTCATCCCTATTACTAACCTTGTATGCTGTGCTAAGTTGCTTCAGTTGTGTCCGACTCTATGCAATGCTCTGGACTGTACCCACGAGGCTCCTGTGTCCATGGAATTCTTCAGGCAAGAATACTAGGGTGGGTTGCCATGCCCTCCCCCAGGGGATCCTCCCAGGAATTGAACCCGCCTCTCTTGTGTCTCCTGCATTGGCAGGTGGGTTCTTTACCACTAGCCCCACCTGGAAAGCCCATTATTAACCTTAGAGGATAATATGTTTACCAATGAAATACACATCCCTTAATTTCAAAGTTACAGTTTTATAAATACTGTTTTTAATGTTTATGTGATTGGCATCCTACAGGACACATTTTCTTTCCTGGCTACTTCCACTTGATATCAGCTGAAAAATTTTTTATGGTAAAGTGTATAATGTTCACAAGATGAATGCGTAAGTGTGCACTGCATTGCACTGCAATGCAGTCAGTTCACAAAATATCTCCAGTTCAAAATACCAACTATGGCCAGCTCCCCAAATAGCTCAACAGTCTACACTCCCACCATAGAGCATGAGGTTCCTATTTGCTCACATCTCTGTGACACTTGCTGTTTCTGCCTTTTGGGTTTTCCAGTCTGATGTGTGTAGAGCAGTATCTGGTTTCCGTGTGGTGTTTTTCCATTACCAGTGTGTTTGAGCATCTCAATGTGGATTTGTTTTCCATTCATATTTCCACAGTTCTGAAATAAATATTCATGTCCTTTGCTATTTTTATATTGGCTTGTTTTTCTTCTTGCTGATTTGTGGAAGTTTTGGTGCATTCTAAATAATTAAAAAGCTCTTGTGAGCTTAAATGAAGGAAATAATTGCTCCCATTCTGCCATTTCTCGATTAAATTTATCTCTGTTGTCTTTCATTTTGATGTGATCAATCTATGTGTTGCTAGTCACAGCACCGTGGGATGCAACATTGTGTACACCTTCTAAAAGTACCCATGATCTTGGCTTTTACATTAACCATTTCCATGTTTTCTTTATAGTTTTATCACCAATGTATCCCTAGAAAGTACAGTTCACATAAACCTATTTTTGAACTTTTTATAAGTACAATCGTATTATATGTCATTGCCTGTGTCTTGCTTCATTTTCTTATTGTGGTATAATTTACATATAATAAATATATATTTAGGCACATTTGTAAATAATGGAGTTATACCCAACAAATAGTTTCTTATTATTTATTTATTTATTTTAACGAATTCTTTGTAATGGCTGAGTAATATTCCATGGTGTATATGTACCACAGCTTCCTCATCCATTCGTCTGCTGATGGCCATCTAGGTTGCTTCCATGTCCTGGCTATTATAAGTAGTGCTGCGATGAACATTGGGGTGCATGTGTCTCTTTCAGATCTGGTTTCCTCAGTGTGTATGCCCAGGAATGGGATTGCTGGTATACCCAACAAATAATTTTTTAAATAAGCAATAGACTTTATTTTTTTGGACAGTTTTAGGTTTACAGAAAATTGAGCAGATACTACAGAGAGCTCCCGTATGTACCTCAGCCCCCTCACATTCTTCCATCCTGCATTAGTGTAGAGTATTTGTTACAGTTAATGAACCAATACTGACACATTACCTTTAACTGAAGTCCATAGTTTCCACTGAAGTTCTCTCTTTGTGTTATCCAGTTCTATGGGTTTTGACAAAAGCATAATGTCATATCCACCATTACAGTATCTTACATATTTTATCACATATGATATATGCTTACATGTACATATATACACACATATACATATATACACATATATGTACACATACACACGTATGTACACACATACACATATATACACATATACATATATACACACATATATGATATACACATATATAATATACAGATTTATATATATAATAAATAATTTTATAGTATGTATTTATGTGTAGTACACATGTTTTAATGAGTTTTGACAAATGGATACATCCACCCCAACCAACATGTAGAATATTTCCATCACTGCTCAAATTTTCCTTATACTACCCCTCGTCTGTGACAGCCTTCCTATCACCATAGCTTAGTTCTGGCCATATGAGAACTTTAGAGAAATGGAATCGTACCTGCGTACTCTTTCCTGGCTGACTTCTTGGGATTCTTACATGAGGTTGGTCCCTGCATTGGCAGTTCACTTCACTTCATTGCTGAGTAGACTCTCCAGAACAGGAGGTCCAGAATCATCTGCTTCCCGTGCCTGCCCTCAAGTTCTGGAGAACAGTCCCTGGGGTGGGAGTTGCTCCTGCTTATTTCACATGCTCCATCGAAGACCTGGGGCCTCTGGGGCAAACTCACATCAGCAGGCAAGCCCCCTCTGGGCTTCTGCTCTGACAACTCCAGGAGCCCAAAGATGGTGGGCATCAGAGCCGCAGGAGAGAGCGGGGCTGGGCTGGGGAGGAGGATCCTGTAGCCTCGACAATGTGGCCTGACCCAGGGGCACTGCACAGGCACCAAGAAGCCCTTGAAAGGCAGTGACCACATGGCCACTCATCCACCAGTGTCTCTACATCAATTTCTGGGGACCCCTGGAGAAGGGCACGGGGCCAGGCCCTGACGGTAGACAAAGATCAGGAAAACTGAACAGCAATAAAACATAAAACCCACAAGAGATCTGGACTACACTTAATGAACCTTAATCACAGCTCTGCCACCTTACAACTGTGAGAATATGAAGCTATGACTTTAGTTTTATTTTCCAAAATGTGGAGGAAGGTATTAATCACAGGTGTGAAAGTGACATTCGATGAGGCTTGTGAAGCCCTGAGCACCTGCTTCGCACTTGACAAACACGGGACCCTAAATAATCCCCAATTTGGGGTTTCAAGTAACTCATTCCAACAAGAAGCCATCATCAATCTGCTCAACAGCCCATCACTGGCCCTTACCATGTCCTCAGGGACCCAAGGAGATGCCAACACTGACCCACTCATCCATTCACAAAGGACCTCAACTCTCACGCCCAAGGTCTCTAGTTGAGTGGCTCCCATATGCTTCCCTTAGTCCCCCATTTTACTGATTTTATAGGTCCTCAATCACTGGCACCCTGAATGTATTACAATGTGAACCTCAAAGGCTTCTGATTCCTGAAGCTCCCGCTCCCAATCATTCACTGCCTCCTACGGTCCCCTAAGCAGT